TTTCTTTTTTAAACCTTCATGTTATTTGGAAGGCAGGGAGAGAGTTCTGCTGCTGCTGCTTCCTCTCTGAACAGCTGTAACAGCTACAGCTTGAGGCCGGAGCCAGGGGCAGCACTCAATTCCCAACTGAGTGGCAGGAGACCCAAGCACTTGGGCCACCCATCATCTGCTGCAGCCCAGGGTGCATATTAGCTGCAGCCCAGGGTGCATATTGGCAGGACTCTGGAACCAGGAACAGGGACAGAGCTGGGAGCCAGGCGCTCCAATTTGGGATGCAGGTGTCCCAGGCTGTACCTGAACTCCAGCTCCTCCTCTCAGAGGTGCAGCTGAAGGGGACACCAAAGGAACAGAAGAACAAAGCAGCTTCGGGGAACTGATGAATTCTCCTTTTAAAGAGAATAGATTTCCAAAGACACTAAACACCACTTAGACTGCCCGACTCAAGTACACTAACAGAATCCTGTAAAGTCCTCGCCTTTATTGAAGTGAAGTATAAATGAATATGGTAATGCACAGGGCACGGGGAAGCATTACCCACAAGCAAGGCAGATTCTTCCAAGCAGTGCAGACCACTTACCAGGATGAAAAACTGCTTTTCCAATTAGTACTATAAATTATTAATAATGCAGGCCTGGTGAAGTCACCTTAAATGGGTCTGATCATTTGACTTTCAATATATTTTAAAGCTGTATTTCAAAGGTAAGGAAATACATCTTATTTAGTTGTGACGATGGATTGTTGTGCTATTCTTGATATTTCTTTAGTCAACCTTGTTCCACAGTAACTGGGAAAAGGTGAGGCACAAACCAACTAACAGTCTCATTCTCACATTGAAAAGTCTCACATGTGTAAAAGACCTACGTTTTTCAATTACATTGTGCTTATGTTTATGTTAAAAGCTGGTTTCAAAATTTAAGTTCGCATCAAAAGCAGGCATTTCAGGGACACTTTTAAGTGTTAAGTAGAAGTAGGTCAGAGATCTATGATTAATCATTTTTATGATAGTGCTGATGCTGATTTTTTGAAAATTATTTTTGTGGAAAGAGATTTATAGAGAGAAGAGAAGAAAGAGAGAGAGAGAGTAAAGAGGACGGAGGGAGGGGCAGGGGAGAGAGAGAAAGAAAGAGATATCCTTTTGTCCACCAGTTCACTCCCCAAGTGGCCACAACAGCTAGAGCTGAGCCAATCCAAAGCCAGGAGCCAGGAGCTTCTTCCAAGTCTCTCATGCCAGTGCAGGGTCCCAAGGCTTTGGGCCGTCCTCGGCTGTTTTCCCAGCTCACAAACGGGGAGCTGGAAGGGAAGTGGAACAGCTGGGACACACTGGCACCCTTAAGGGACCCCAGTGCATGCAAGGTGAAGACCTTAGCCGTTAGGTTACTGCACGGGCCAGACAGTGCCGACTATAAAGGCTTAGTGTTACAGGTGTACTTAAGGATATTTACATACAATCACAGACAGCCACGTTAGACTATTCCTTTGTTAAGATTTATGTATTTGAAAGGCAGAATGATATAGAAAGAGAATTTTCCATCTGTTGGTTCACTCCCCAGATAGTCAGAAGAGCCAAGGCTGGGCCAGGCTGAAACTCTGCTTGGGTCCTCAGCGTGGGTGGAGCGGCTTCAGACACCATCTGCTGTATTCCCAGACACGTCAGCAGGAAGCTGGATTGGAAGCAGAGCCGCTGACTCAAATCAGCTCTCAAATATGAGATGCCACTGTCACAGGCCCTGGCTTAACCTGCTTTGCCTAAATCATGCCAATTTGCTGGTAAAAGTTACAACCTATCCGAGCATAAAAAAGATCTTGGAAATATTTTCCAGGAGTTTGTGTTTGGCTTATAGGTTAGACCCAGGTTACTGTGCTCAGAGGACACGTTGTGTTGGATTCCTGCCTCACTGCAGCCTCTTGCTGCCCACGTGACAGGCTTCCACAGGGCCCAGGGCTCCTGGTTTCAGCACCCAGCCACTGTGGACTTCCTGAGTGAACAAGCCTGGAAGCAGCCTCTCTCCTCGTCTCTCAGAACAACAACAAAACTCATCTAACATTTAGAATCATTGACAATCTTTTTTCATTCAGAAAAAAATAAAAACTCAATTTCTTTTAGGTTTCCAAAGTCATGGCTGGATTCCCCCAAGAGCAAAAGGACACAGGAAAAGGACCAATGCCCTGTGGTCAGCTGTTTGGTCAAAGTCCCCGGGCTGTTCTTTCAGTCTAACTTTCTGGTCACAGTCTGGCACCACTCCTACTTGCTGCACTTTGCCAGTTTCTACCAGAAAAAGTGGGTGGGCCTGAGAACACAGCTCTGAGGCAGCGGAAATGGCAGGAGCGCCACCGTTGCAAAGAGGCTGATCCTACGTCAGCGTGTATCACGCTGCAGCCTCCTTGTTTCCTTCCCTTCCTGCCTTTATGAGGGGACCTCAGACAGGCTGTGCAAACTGAACTGTAAAGATGCTTATTTTGGGTTCTGGCACGATGGCTCCGTGGCTAAATCCTTGCCAGTGCCAGGATCCCATATGGTCACTGGTTTGGGTTCCAGCTGTTCCACTTCCCATCCAGCTCCCTGCTTGTGGCCTGGGAAAGCAGTTGAGGACGGCCCAAAGCCTTGAGACCCTGCACCCGTGTGGGATACCCGGAAGAAACTCCTGGCTTAGAATTGATTCAGTTCTGGGCCGTTGCAGTAACTTGGGGAGTGAACTGGTGGATGTAGGATCTTTTTGTCGCTCCACTGTATAAAATCTGTCTTTCCAATAAAAAACAAATAAATCTTTAAATTTTCATTTACAGCAAAATAAATTTTATCTTTTTTCTTGTCCACCAACTTGTTCAAGCCCCCACGTATTCAGATAATTCCAAGCAGGAGAAAGCATACCCAGTTTCATAGGCACCTGACGTGGACACAGCCCATCACAGGACCACAGGGTCCCCCGTTAGGCTGTTAGGACACATACCCCTAATCATTTCACATCACCTTACAAAAGGGCACAACATTTCTTGTCCTGAGTTAGTGTTTTCTGCCAAGGGAGTGTTTTGGAGGAGTTTACTTGCACTCTCCTTGAACAGGAGTCTGGGGAGGAGGCAGCTGGGCGTCCCACGAAGTGTCTGGGTGCTACTGGTACTGCTGTTCCCCAGTTCTCTCACTGCGGACCGCTGCCTGAGCTTTAGGAATTCTGCTGTTCATCACAGGCCAAAAAACCCCACATAAGCCATGAGATTACTGAACAAGAATGGTCCAATTTAAAGTGATGCAATATTAGTGGTTAATTACTTCCTCCTTCTAAACTACCTTTTAACAGTTTCAAAACACCCTGGATATATTATGGCAAGGCTATTCAGAATGCAAAACAGAAATAACCAGCTAACCTTGGTTTCTGATCAGTTGGGGGAATGAAGATTTAAACGTCCTACTTGTGATTTTATATTAAAATTTAGGACCACGCCTGGCTGCGGGGCTTCCCCGGGGTCAAGGTCAGGGCATGCCTCTAGGGCCACCTGGACCACCCAGGAGATGTATAAGCCGTGCTGAGGGCTTTGCTGTAGCTTTATTTACAGAAACCCACGAGTATGGATAGAACGCACACTCCCACACTAAGTGGTTCCATTGTCTGGGGGTGCGAGGAGCCTGGCCCAGCTCCCCAGGCGCACTCCGGGGCGGGAGCCGAGTGCTGCTGCAGGTGCCCCGGGCCGGTGGCGCGGCCAGCTTCTTTCCGCCCTTTTCGCTCCACCGGCTGAGAAAACCACAGACCGCCCCTCGCCCCCGCCTCGCTTCCTCCTCGGCTCCGGTCGACACTTGTCTCTGCGGCCTTGTTTAAAAATTCATGGTCGCCGGGGAGGTTTGGCGGCCCCAGGCGGCAGAGACCGCAGCGCCGCGGCGGGCCGAGGGCTCGGCTTTCCCACAGGCAGGGGCGGGAGGGCGCTCCGGGCGCCAGGCGGCCCGGGGAGGCGTCCGCCTCCGGAGGGCGGAGCCCGGGTCCCCCCGCCGTCCTCCCCGCTCCTCCCCGAGGCCTGAGGCGCCGCGCCGAGCCGCCCTCCTGCCGTCCCCCTCCGGGCCGCGGGGCCGTGCGTGCGAGCGTGCGTGCGTGCGCGCGCTGGCCCTAGTCCCGCCCCCCCGCGCGCGCGCGTGTGCGTACAGGGACACAATGGCGACGCCTACGCCGCGCGCTGTGCCCGGGCCGGGGAGGGGGCGGGGCGCGGCGCGGAGAGCGCGCGCGAGAGTCGCAGACAGCGCGAGACCCGCGCGGGCCGGAAGCGCGCGTGCGCGCCCCCGCCCGCCGGCCGGGAGGCGGAGCCGGCGCGGGAGCGGCAGCAGCTGTCGGAGCCGCGGCCGCTGGGAGAAGCGCCAGAGAGGCCGGGCCTGCTCCGGTCCGACCGGATCCCTCCCCTCCCCCTCCCTGCCAGCTCCCCTCCCCCCCAGCCCACTTCCGCAGCTCGCGGCCTGGCCGCCTCCGCCGCCGGCGACGGCAGCAGCAGCAGCAGGAGGAGGAGGAGGCGCCGGGAGGACTACGCACCTGACGGGCCCGCTCCCCGGGGCTCCAGCGCGGGACGCTCGCCGGCCGCCGCCGCCGCCGCCGCCCGGACGCCCTTGGCGGTGGCGGCGGGCAGGGAGGCACCGGCGGCGGCGGGGCCCGGAACGCGAGCCGCCCCCTCCCCGCCCTCTCGGCTTCCGTCCCCTCCCCCGCGCGCGAGCCCCGGATGGAGCCGCCGCCGCCGCCGCCCGGCTCCGGGGATGGTTTTGTCAGGCGGCCAGAGCCCCGGCGGCGCCGGGCGCGGCCGCTCCCGCCCCTCGCGGGCCAGCACCGGGGCCCGGGCGCGCGGGGCGGCGGGGGGCGGCCGGGGGCGGCCGGGGCTCGGGCCGCGGGCCGGGCGGCCGTCGGCTTTGTTGCCTCCGCCGGAACCGTTGGCGAGCCCCGGCCGCCCCCCGCCTCGGCGGAGCCCGGGTCCCGGGGCGGCGGCGGCGGCGGAGGCACGTGGGTCCCGGGGCGGCCGAGGCCGTGCGCGCTTACCTGTCGGCGGGGAGCGTGCAGGAGGCGCCGCTGGGCCGCGTCGGCCGCGCTGTCCTCCCCGCCGCTCGCTCGCTCGCTGCTGCTGCTGCCGCCGCGGTCGGTGTCTCCGGCGCGGCGGCGGCGGCGGGGCTTTTCCTGTCCGGTTACGTTAAGGTCACATGACCGAGAGAGCGGAGCGACTCGTGCAGAGAGGCTGCGAGCGGCTCCCGCCGGGGGGGAGAGGCGGCGAGCGAGCCGTGGCGGCCAGGGCCCCCTCCGCCCCCCGGCCGCTCCCCGCCCCCGCCCGCCCGCCTCCGCCTCCCGCCTCCCGCCGCTCCCGCCGCCGCCGCCCGGGCTCGGCGCTCGGCCCCGGCCGAACTCCTGCAAGCCATGTGCAGCGCCGGGTGCTCGGGGGGCACGGGTCCCGGGGCGCGCCTGCCCGCCCGCCCAGCGCTCCCTCGGCCCGCGCTTTAGTCCCGAGTGCGCTGAGGTTGCAGTGTGCGGGCTTCACAGCCGGGGGGCCGGTGTGCACCGACGGTCCCGGGGCGGTCGGGGGCTGCATGCGGGGGCTGCGGGCTGTGCGCAGTGTGTCCGGGAGCAGCTGTTCTCGAAGCCGAGGTGTGCGGGCCAGCTGCGTGCTTCGAGTCTGGGCTTCTGTGGGGCCGGTGGAGTGCTCCGCTGGAGTTGGAGACCCTGGTGGTCGTGCTTAACTTTGTGGAACTAACTTGTCCTGCGACCGCTGCCATTTTGCTAGGGTTTTTAATCTTGTCTTTGGAAGTGCGGTTGATGAGGACTGGCATCGAATGATTTGCTTGTTTCCCTGACCCAGAGTTGGTAAGACACGAAGCCTAAACATTGATTCCCCGGAGAGGGAGGCAGCAGGTGGCAGTGTCCGGTGTTAAAGCTTGTTGGCCCGTGCGTAAGCACCTCGGTGTGAGTGATGTCCGACCCGCTGGGGTTTAGGCAGCCAGACCCCTAGCGCAGAGCAAGTTGCTAACTGAAGGAGAGTTGACGTGCGGTGTCCTCCAGGAAACCCGAGCTGCGTCTGCGTGAACTGCTGATGAGGGAGCCCTTGGAAGACACACAGGCAGCTGTGTAACTGGTGGCCCACAGTCGGCGTGCGACTGTCCAGAGCTGGCCAGCGGCCCTGCACGGCCTGGAGCTCAGGTCCGCCTCATCTTCGTAGCAGGGGAAGTGAGCTGACGGATCTTAATTGGGCCCTTACCTCTGAACGTGTTGGCATTGATGGTGCTGACGGAGCACTCGGGTGAACAGGAAGCTGGGCAAAACTGATTCTAAAGACTTTTTTCCCTCCAAATTTTGGTAGTTTTGATTTATTGGAAGGAGGAGCGTGCCCATGTGTTGGCTCGCTGCCCAGGTGCCTGCAGCAGCCAGCTCCAGGCCGAAGCTGGGAGCGAGAAGCTGTCTGCCTTTCCCACGTGGGTGGCAGGGACGCAGCCTCCTGAGCGATGATGCATCGCCTGCTGTGTGCCCCGGGACCGGGAGCTGGAGCAGAGCCTGTCCAAGTCCAGAAATCCCGTGTGGGACGCTGGCGTCTCGGTCTGTGTCTAAACCGCTCGGCCAGCGCTTGGCCCACTGGTAAAGTTTTAGCTTTAGGACTTTCTTTAGAAACTTGGCTGCGTGGTTAGAACTGGCTTTAAGTCCAAGGAGCTGTGTGTGTGACCCCAGCAACTGCTTTCCCGTGGCACGCGCTGTGAGGAGAGCCCGGGGCTGGGCAGCCTGGCCAGGAGAGTCGGGTCAGGAGCGCCCTGTACCGCCGAGGAGCTGCTGTTCTAACGGAGACCTCGGCTGCCCAGGCCAGCTGGAGTGTGCCGCGGGCACGGGTTGTTTTGATGCTTGTCACTGTAATCAGATAATGGCATGCTAAAGACAGCTCGTCATACTGAGTGCTTTCTCCTCTTCGGTGGAGTGGAAGCCTTCAGAGTGCTGCATTTGCCAGGCCTGGTGGAAAACCAGTAGTTCCCCGCACAGAGAAGGGCTGGTTAGTGGAGCTCAGGATGGGCCCAGAGCAGCTCTGGTTCTGTAGTGAGCATGGGCCTAGGGTCGCCACAGATACTTCTGAGTTAAGTAATAAGGAAGGTAAGACGGCCAGGCACTGTGCAGTGTTTAGGTACCAGTTGGCACTGCCCACCCCCACCCCGGTAAGCGCATGCAAATATCGTGAGGACTCATCCCAAGTCAGGTGTAATTCCTGTGCACATCTTGTGTTATTGAAAGTTTCAGGGTGTGTTCTGAGGCACAACCATTGAGCACGCTTGCTGTATTCCGAAGGACGCTCTCGCGGGCCTCGGGCAGTTTCATACTTCTATGTTTAATTTGGGTTGGTTTTGGTGAAACTGCATGCCCAGGTTGCAGGTAGGGTTTGGTTTAGCATTAATACAGGAGGGGGAAGGAAATGTGGCTAGGGCCCAAAACGGCTTTCTCACTGAAATAATGTTAGGAGGGATTTCTTAAATCAGGGAAATGGCATGCTTTTACAAATTAGAATATTAAGTCTAGGGCATATATTATATCCTCTGTTAACAAATCACAAGACGTATTTTAAGTTTCTTATATTTCATTGGTTTGGTCATAAAATTCATAAAAAGTGCTTATTTTGTAGTTGGTTGGTAATACACCGTATTCCCTCACGGAGTTCTGATGCCTTAGAGAGCCTTTGTTTTAAGCCTGTTATAGACCTGTGGAGTTAACGGTTTTCACCTGTGATTCTAAGAAAGTCATCTTGAATTGCTGTGGGGCTGTCAGTGTTCTGGTGGGGGGCAGGTGGGGGGCTGGCGCTGGTGCAGCTCCCTGAGTGCGGGCCGGCGCTCCCCTGCGGCCACCAGGAAGCCAGCTGCACCACCAGAGTCCTCCCTGAAGGGAGGGACAGAATGAGGCTCTCCTCCGGAGGGGGGGTCCCAGGGGTCTGCCAGCGTCGGGGTTGAGTCACCGCCTCTCACTGCCACAGTTCTGGGATTTCCTGGTGCTCTGATGAGTTAGGGCTGGCTGGGTCTGCAAGTGATGTCTTAATGAAGTCAGTTTTGAATCTGAGGTCCTCCAGCCTGACTCCCTTCTCTGGGAAGCTGACTTAAAAATGTCAGTAACTTGCCCAAGGCCATTGCGCCCAGGGAAATGTAACCTGTTTCCTCTGACCTTCATCATGGATGTCATGAATAATCCATGGCTGGCTAACGGCAGAATCTTTCCCGAAGCAGTTGCAGTGCTAGAACGGTTCTCTGGTCTTGTGCTGCAGTCGGCAGGCCCCCACAGCGAGTAGCTTGCAGATAACAGGAGGTGTCTGAATTTGTTGATTGCTTAAATTGGCACGTCTCTCGCCCTGATAACTTTTAGAGGAAGCAGAAAATGAATGAATTCAGTGCAGTTGGGACGGGGCAAGTGTAGGAACAGAACCCAGCCGTCCGCACTGTGCTGTCTGCGTTGGGAAGCGCCTGGGCCGAGGCTGGTTGTGATTGAGTGGTTCAAGAACAGTGTGATGCTCTTGACAGTGTGGCTGGAGGCAGGAGACACTCCCAGCCTCCTGTTTTTGTTTTCAGCCTTCTCTGAGCAGTGGATGGCGTAATTTATTAAGTCAGCACACAGGGGATAGTGGCTGCTTCTCTCTTAAACCATTTTCTCCATCCGGCTGCTGACAGCGTGTGGGTCTTAGCGGCCTGCGTTCCTCACCTCTGCCCGGCTCCTGCGGGTGCCTGGACGACAGTGGCTTCCTCTCATCACACTGCTGCTTCTCAGGAAGCGCACGGGCCTCAGATGGCTTTTCTAGAACTGCGTGAACATGTGGTTACTGCTGTAGTTAACCTCTGAATGAGAGCCTGAAACGGCAACAGGTGTTCCGAAGGCAGGCTGGCGTTTGTGACAACTCCCTCGTGCATGTAACTGTTACTGTCGATGTTACCCTCATTTTGTGGCATACATATTCTTTCAGATTTATTTATTTATATTGGAAAAGCAGATTTTATAGGGGGAAGGAGAGAGAGCTCTCTGTCCGCTGGTTCACTCCCTTTAGTGGCTGAAGTTGAGCTGATCTGGAGCCAAGAGCCAGGAGCCTCTTCCTGGTCTACCGTGTGGATATTGGGTCCCATAGCTTTGGACAGTCCTCTGCTGCTTTCTCAGGCTACAAGCAGGGAGCTGGATGGGAAGTGGAGCAGCTGGGTTATGAACTGGCACCCATATGGGATCCTGGTGCTTGCAAGGTGTAGGAATAGACAGCCAATTGAGCTATTGCACTGGGCCTTGTAGAATATATTCTTTTAAGATTATTTAAAGATATTATTTTAATTATTTTATATTAAAGATATTATTTTAAGATATTAGTTGGGGCCCAGTGCAGTAGCCTAGTGGCTAAAGTCCTCGCCTTGCACACACTGGGATCCCATATAGGCGCTGGTTCTAATCCCGGTGGTCCTACTTCCCATTCAGCTCCCTGCCTGTGTCCTGGGAAAGCAGTTGAGGACGGCCCAAAGCCTTGGAACCCTGCACTCTTGTGGGGGACCCAGAAGAGGCTCCTGGCTCCTGGCTTCAGATTGGCTCAGCTCCAGCTGTTGCAGTCACTTGGGGAGTGAGTTAGTGGACAGAAGATCTTCCTCTTTGTCTCTCCTGTGACTTTCTAATAAAAATAAAATTTTAAAAGATTATTTATTTATTTGAGAGGCACACCATCAAGAATAGGGATGGAGTAGACGGGTTTAGTTGTCAAGTGGACTCGACTGTTGTATGTAGGGCAGACCAACTCCAGGAACCAGAAACTTCATCTTGGTCTCTGGAATGGACATGACAGATGAGCATAGTTGGGTCCTCGTGGGCTGCCTGCCCAGGGGCATTGGCAGGGAGCCAGCCTGGGATGACACTGTCCGCAAGCCCGGGCTTAACCCAGCGTGCCGTACTGGTCACAGTTGGCCATTGCTGTAGATCTGCTGTCCATTTATTAGCTACTCGGGGCTTACTGTCACACTGGCCTTTTGTGTTCATTAGTCATGTTGTTAATGGCTACAATAGTGGTTAGTGCAGACCACAAAACACTGTTACAGAAAGTTCTGGACAGTGCTGCTATCAAATTATATTTTCCGTATTGCGTATTTAGACTGCAGTGTGTGTTGTCTCGAATAGACCGTCTTTGGGGGAGACAGTGGTTAGTAAGTAGGAGCAGAGGGGAGTGTGTCTGCTGGAGTACAGAGGCCATGGTCCAACTTGGCCTTCAGCCTGGTTTCATTCACAACTACCATCCCCTCCAGGCTGTTTAGCTTTGGACGTGTTTACTTCCTGGCCTGATCTTCATTTTACTCAAGTTGGGATAATCTGTATTTATTATAGGATTTCGAATCTAAAATATCTGCTAAGCGGCTTAGTAGAATAGCTTTGTGACTGCAGATAGTTAAATCTCTTTGGAAATAACCATATATATCTGTGTGTGGGGGGGTGTATATATGTATATATATGCGCATATGAAAGATTTACAGAGAGAGGGCTTCCATCCACTGGTTCCCTGCCCACGTGGCTGCCAGCTGATCTGAAGCCTCCCAAGAGCAGCCTAGGTCTCCCACGCAGGTTTAGGTCCCAAGGCCTTGGGCCCTCTCCACTGCTTTGCCAGGCCACTTGCAGGGAGCTGGATGGGAAGTAGAGCAGCTGAGAAAAAACTGGTATCCATATGGGATCCTGGCGCATGCGCAGTGAGGAGTTAGCCACTGAGCCATCACCAGACAGACCCTGGTTGTAACAGACTTAAACACGTCTGCTGTAGCTTACGGATCATAAATTTAAAGTTACGGGTAGCAGCATAACTCATTGGTTCAGTTGCTGCCTGCCATGTGCTGGTTCGAGTCCCAGTTGGCCCACTCCCTGCTCATGTCCTTGGAAAAGCAGGGGAAATGGCTTTCCGTTAGCAGGTCCACTCTCTGCTAACGTCCCAGGGCCCTGCCCTCCTCTAGGGCGGCAGTCCTCTGCTCGAGGCTCCCCTGGCCAGCCCTGGGAGAATGAGGCAGTGGATGGGCGGCACCTCTCTCCTCCCTTCCTCTCCTTTTCTGTAACTCTGCCTTTCAGATACATAAATTGTTTTTTAAAACTTGAGAAGATTTTCAGTGATGAAATATTGTTACTTTTAAATAAAGATATCTTTTTTTTTTAAGATTTATTTTTGTTGGAAAGACAGATATACAGAGAGGAGGAGAAACAGGAAGTGACTGCCATGGTTGGTGCTGAAGCCAGAAGCCAGGAGCTGCGTCTGACCAGCGCCCATATGGGATCCCAGTTTGTGCAAGGCGAGGACTCTAGCCACTAGGCTACTGTGCTGAGCCCTATTATGTACCTTTTAAAGACTTTGTTTAGTGCATGTAATCCTATAAGTGAATTGATGTCTGCCACGATCCATATGGGAGTTTCATGTAGATCTAACACCATTCTTTTTTCTTAATACTGTATGTGTGGATTCCCTCAGAAAAACATTGTTAATGTTTACAAATGCCTTTGGCTTATCCTTTTATTCTGTGCAGTGTACAAATTACTCGATTTTATTTTGCCTTAACTATAAGGCACCAAATGTTGGTATTTTTGGTTTGGTTTATTAAAATTGTTAAAACTGATTAACCAAAACACCAAGTTGTACACATTGATACTTAGAATAAAATATTACTGAAGTGTATCTCATCATAGGGGGGGAAATAAAGTTTTATTGAGCAAACTTTGAAATTGTTCTGTTGTGTGGTTTCCTAAGTTTTAACAAATGGGGTAAACACATGTCAAGATTGAGTGTATCGGGCCAGACAGTCCAAGCTGGGAGAATGTCGAAGGAAAGCTGGCAGGGCCTCATGCAGTGACTGGATTTGGATGCAGGCCTGCTGAAGGCACGTTAACTCTTGGGAGAGGCAGAGGTACAACTCTTCCATCAACTGGTTTGTTCCCCAAATGGCCACAATGGCCGGAGCTGAGCCAGTCAGGATCCAGGAGCTTCAGAGCCCGCAGGCTATTCTCTGCTGCTGTTCAGGTCATAAACAGGAAGCTGGATTGTAGGTGGAGCAGCCAGGACATGATCCAATATGCATATAGGATGCCAGTGCCATGGCAGAGGAGGCGGCCACAGCACCAACCCAGCTGGCCATGCCCACGTCCTCTTTGGAAGCTCATGGGGTGGTGTGTTTGGTATGGGCATCTCAGGACTACACATTCACCTTGGGACTTAGCAAGTCGGTGGGCCACGCTGAGTACAGTGCTCATATAGCATGGAGCACTGACAAAATGTCCCATTTTAGAACAAAGATACTGTGTTCATGGATATGAATTTGAGGGGGTCTTCAAAAAATGGGTGAGAACTACACATGGATTTCAAGATACTTTCCAAGAAAACATTTGATGAACTTTCAAGTATCCTACATAAAAGAACATGAAACGCACCCGATGGTGCCTGTGTTGTTAAGCCACTGCCTGACGCAGGCATCAGGGGAGCACCAGCCTGGGTCAGCACTGCTGCGCCTGGATTCAGCTCCCTGCTCATGAGCCTGGGAGAGTGACAGGGAAGGGTCGCAGTGCTGTCCTCAGGCCACCATGTGAGACCTGGATGGAGTGTGGCTCCTGGGTTAGGCAAGGTCCACAGGGAAGACTTGGGATGGGCTAACCCTCTGCTTGTGATGCCCACAGCCCGTGTCAGAGCCACTGGTCCAGTTCTGCTGGAAGCAGTAAACAATGGCCCAGTGCTCTGCCCCACCTGCTGTTTGGCCAACCTGTCCAGAGGTCTGGGTTCCTGGCCGTGGCCCAACCCAGCGCTGGCCGTAGCAGCCATCTGGGGACCAACCGGCTCCTGGAGGATTCACACTTGCCCCCAGGCTGAGGCTGCCTTCCTCACTGGGGACTGTCCTGTTTGCTTTCCTTGTGCTCCTGACCTGGAGGGATGTGTGAAGGATACCAGAGGACGGCATCCTAACCCCGGGGTCGCACGCCTCTGCCTTCCTGTGACCGGGCAGTGAAAGCTGTTAGAAGGTGAGGTGACAGCGGTTGAGTGCAGCTAGCTGTGTGAGCTAGGTGTATGGAGTGACTGCTGCCAACCAGTGCCTGTGCTGTAAATACTTCAACATTACCAGTCCACTTAAGGTTTCCTAAAACTGGCAAAAGTTCTGTAGGTTGAAATAAGTTTTCCCTTTTGTGCAGACCCTTTTAGATACAGACCTTAACATTAGTTCTTCATACTTTTTATTCAACAATAAGCTGAAAAGTCCCATTTGTACACTTTTGTTTTAAAAAAATAACCTATTTAATGAGACCACCTAATACTGTTTATTTTTGATTGCAGAACTTTAGCATCTTGTCAAATGACTGGTGACCACATGATCAGAAAAATACTCGCCCCAGCTCAAACATTACCTTAGGAGAACAAAAAGCAAGAATTAGTAACTTGGCAGTTAAATTACCAGGATAAATTAAAACGCCTGCTCCCAGACTGAGAGAATGTTTGCCTGCCCTAAGTGTTTCTAGATGTTCACGCCCTTCCCCAGGTGTGTAATCTTGAGCTGCAGGATCCACCTGCAGAGCCCCGGCATCGTCAGCACAGGGCCGGCCGTGCGGTCCACGGCTGGCGGGCTGCGGGAGGGTCGGGCCTCACCTCGATGGTGATGAGGATCACGATCATCCACTCGAGGCGCAGGGCTCTCTTCTCGTTCAGGTGGTTCCGCATCAGGTCTGCCAGCTCCATGCAGTGCTGCAGCTTCTCGTTCATGACCTGAACAGGCAGTTAACAAGTCGGTCATGTATTCGATTTTAGGGAACTTGGGTATTTTGATTACAGGCTTCTGGAATTCTGTAGGCACGCGCTGGAAAGCATCCCTTCCTCCGACTCAGCTCCTCCCCCAGGGCACCCAGCCTGTGTTCCTCATTCCTTGGGATTCCATCTGGGAGACATCCTGTGATGCAGACCTAACTGCAACAAAGACACCGAATACCAAGGTTTTTTCTTTTTTGGGTGAAGTCCTGGCTTTTGGTAGCTGATCTTGGGTGTTCAGCAGCTTAAGAGGGCATCTCCACAGCAGGTATTTGCTAGGGAAGGAATCCCTGGCTTTGATGCCCATCTCCTGTTCCTGACACACACGTTGGAGGCAGCTGGATTCCTGCCAATCAGTGGTGGCTGACTTCATCCCAGCCTGACACGGGCTGTTTCAGATGAGAAGTTCCCTGTCTCTATGCCTCTCAGGCAAATAAAAAAGTTATTAAAAATCAAAGTGGCCTTCAAACTGTCTTTGAGCATGGCCTAAAGATGACAAAAGCGGTGACTACCATCTAAAATCCTAAGCTACTTAACATTTGTCATGCTGCACACTTACCACCAGATGGCACTGCAAAGGGTCTATTTCAGCATGTTGCAACAGCATTTTGCACAATTTGCGCAACTGAGTTCATGCAAAACAAACCTTGAATTCTAGACTTGAATGTGACTGTTGGCAAGCTACATACATACTCTATTTCTGAGTTTGTTCTGGAAATTGGGAAGTATGCTAATCAATCTTGGAAGGTCAGCTGTCTCCTGGGGCTTGGGGAAAGTGCAGGCTTGGACTGTGAAAACCAGACCAGTCACTACCAATGCCAAGTGCAGGTACTAACAGGGACGTGGTACTTTCTGCTCATTTTTACAGTTCTTGCACAACATGAAACTGCCTTACTTCAGCCTCAGATTGAGAATTCACGAACACTGATAAAGTTTGCTCATTTCGAGATCTGAAACTTTGCTCAGTTCTAGCATCAAATGAAAGCATCAGACATGACACTGAATTGTGCTAACACAGTTCCTGCTCCTCCAGGCCGCCTGTTTCAGCTGGCCTCCAGGCAGATGACTTACCTGCGTGCACAAGAGGGGGCAGGAAGAGGGAGGCACCAGCAGAGGGTGTAGCTTCGAGCTGGCAGTTGCCAGGAAGGTGGAGGGGGTGGGGCAGAAGAGCAGCTCCTGGCAGAGGAGACGGCACAGACAGGGATGCTGGACATGGGCATCTTGGAAGGAAGCGTGAGGCAGTTAAGCTGTGGGGCTGGTGCACACCCACGTGGCACAGCAGCAATAAAGCTCTATCTCCTAGGTACCTCCTCATCTCTGGAACCCGTGAGGACAACATGGCACCGAGTCAGAGGAGCAGGAATTCACACTGAGGCAGTGAGGCCCAGCTAGCCGGTGCTGGTGCAGGAAGGGGCTGTGAGACTGGGGATGTGGGCAGCCTCCGGGAGCTGGAAAAGGTGAGGACATGCGCCCACCCACAGCCTGGAGAGCAACGTGGCTCTGGCAACGCCCGTTCCACACTGTGACCACAAGCAGGAGGCGATCTGCATCCAGCTGCCGGGCTTATACTTTCTTAGAGCAGCAACAGCGAAGCAATGCACGGTGCTGTGATGTCTGAACTGAACTCTGCGGGTCACGAGTCCTATGCTCGTTGCCGGGCAGAAGAGACAGACTGGTAGGGGAGATGCCCCGTGTCTGCCTTCTTGGCTGATAGAGGCTGGGGGCAGGGAAGCAGGCATGGGACTCAAACAGGCGAGTGCCCAGGGCCGCACACTCACTGCCTACGGCCTTGAGGCACCAAGGGTCATCGTGGCACCATTCCCTATAAGCCTATGCCTTGGTACACCTTTTCACAGAAACTAGCTCTCATTAATTTTTTTAAAGTTTATTTATTCTTATTGTAAAGTCACTTATACAGAAAGAAGGAGAGACAGAGGGAAATCTGCGCAATAATTCACGCCCCATGCGGATGCCACAGCTAGAGCTGAGCCAGTCCGAAGCCAGGAGCCTCCTCTGGGTCTCCCACAAGGATGCAGGATCCTAAGGCTTTGGGCTGTCCTCAACTGCTTTCCCGGGCCACAGGCAGGGAGCTGGATGTGAAGTGGAGCTGCTGAGATTAGAACCTGGGATCCTGGTGTGTGCAAGGCGAAGGCTTTAGTTGCTAAGCTACTGCAACGGGCCCGCTTTCAATTTCATTCATTCTTAAAGCCTACTGTGTGCTCTGATACTGTGTGACTCCACCAGTGTTGTGGGCTAAGGAGTTGATCAGCGCTCGTTGGGATGGGCAGCAACAGGAACTGGGCTTGTAGCTCAAAACACCTAGACTAATTGGACTCATCTGTATCCAACTTCCTGGCTAAATTAAGACTTGGGGGGCAAGAATATGTAAGGAGAAGTGAAGCAGCAATAGAGAGACTTCGCGGAGACTTCCACCATCACTGGTCTCCTGTCAGTGCTTCATCCCCAGACCCTCTCCCTGTCCTCGTTACTGGGAAATACCATCCTGGAGGCAGCCTCAGTCCCCCTCGGTGTCTGGCGGCACCCGAGGGATCATGAAGCCTTTCGGCTGCGGTGAGGCAACAGCTGGAAGGCCTCTTCTCCCTCTCCCTTCCTAACTTTTTCAAAGTGAATCAATCTTTTTTTTTTTTTAAAGATTTATTTTTATTATTTTTTTATTGGAAAGGCGGATATACAGAGAGGAGAGACAGAGAGGAAGATCTTCCCTCCGATGATTCACTCCCCAAATGGGCGCAACGGGCCGATACTATGCCGATCCGAAGCCAGGAGCCTCTTCCGGGTCTCCCACGTGGGTGCAGGGTCCCAAAGCTTTGGGCCGTCCTCGACTGCCTTCCCGGGCCACAGGCAGGGAGCTGGAAGGGAAGTGGGGCTGCTGGGATAGAACCGGCGCCCATATGGGATCCCGGGCGTGCTTGGTGAGGACCTTAACCACTTGCGCCACCGCGCCGGGCCCGAATCAATCTTTTTTAAATCATTGCCAGAGAACTGAGCTATGGGAGCAGTCTTCAACTGCAGCCTGGCCAGCTTTCTGGTGGCATAGAAGGGGAATTCCTTGCAGGCAGATGAGCTGACCCGACAGGTGCAAGGTGCCCTTCCTGGCATGCCACTTCCCTCTGGGCTAACAGCAACACTGTGGTGGCACTTTCTCCGTGGCAGTTTACTTCTTACCCAACTGGCTGCTTATTTGTGTGCCTTTCTCATTGACCCTTTGGCACTTCTGACATCCCTTGTGGCTTCCGTGCTGATTCTAAGGAATCCGAGCGAGTTCTTGAAAGACACCGATCCTCACCCTCGCCTGGCTGGACCACCCCCACTCGGCTCAAACCTTCACCACTGGGGACTGTCCTGTTGGCTTTCCCTGTGCTCCTGTCCTGGAGGGATTGTCAGGGATACCACAGGATGGCATCTCGGGGAGTGCTGGGTGCTCAACCTGTCCGAGCAGCTGGTTCACCTTGGTTACTGCTCAGTAACTTGCGTGGACTTCACTAAGCAGGGCATCAGAGGGAGCAGTCTAGCTGCTTGTCAGCACCTGACCCAGTGACTCCACCCCAAGTTTCCACACCCAGAGAAAGCAGTGACGCCCAAGAACAGTGTGTTCAAGATACTCTCCAATCGGTTCCAATTCGGCTGTCTACAGACTGTGCATGAGAGTCTATTTTCAAATCAAGTTCCATGAGACACAATTTACACATAATTTAGTGTACTGGTTTTATATATTACAATTTGGAGACTTGACAAATGTCTACCTGCTTGCAGCTTTTGACCCACTATAACCACGTACAAATCTGTGTGAGGATATGTTTTAATTTTTCACGAGAAAATGGGAGAGTGGGATTGCTGGGTCACATGGTTAACGATTAACTTTATGAGACATTGCCAACTTCTTTTACAGAGTGGTTACACCAACTTGTATAAGGCAGTGCGATCACTCCACGTTCCCACTGGCTGTTCAGTTTTGGACATCCTGGAGCAGACACTTGACCTAGCACTTAGCACGCTGCTCAGGACACTGCTGCTTGAGGCCAGTGCCGGGGTTCCATCCTGCTCCCTGCCAATGCTGACTTCGGAGGCAACGGAGAAGCAAGTAACTGGCCTCCTGCCACCTACTTGGGACACGAGCACTGAGTTCCTGGTTCCCAGCTGTGGACTGACCCAGGCCCAACCACAGTGGGCATTTGGGGAGTGAACCAACTGATGGCAGCTCTCTCTTATTTCTCTGCTCTTCAAAATAAAGTGAATGAATTTTACCTCTTTCCTGGGTTTAGGACTCCACAGTTTTACCTTGAACCACTGACGAGTGATGACCTGGGACATCTCTTATAAATGATAAGGTTAGACCTGATCCGATTAAAAATAGTATGAGGTGTGGGATACAATTAAATTTTTTTTCTTTACTTTACAAAGATCTACCCAGTTCTAGCATTGTTTGTTGAGAAGAACCTCCCTCTGCTATTAACTTGTCATTTTTGTTAAATTCCCCATCCAAGTTCTAGCTCTCACTTCGCACTCTTCTGTTGCATGGATCTGAGGTGTGTCCTTGGGCTGGGATTCAACTGTTTTTGGTTACTGTATCTTTCAGTAAGTCTTACAATCAGGCAGGAAAATTCAACTTGCCCTTTTTATGAAGTTGCTCCAGCTAGTGCAGGCTCCCATGCCTTTGGCATTTATGAGATGCCCATGCCTGGGACTGCCAGCCAGCGCTGGCTCCTCTGACTCTAGCTTCCTGCTAACAGATCCTGGGAGGGAGTCCTGATGGATCCAGGACCTGGGCTCCCACCACCACATGAGGCTGGTGTTCTGGTTGCCTTTTTCCTCACCAGTTCAGCATGACTCCCTTAAGCATTTAAGGAGCAAATCAGTGGTTGGGAACTCTATCAAATTTTAAAAGCAAACAGGGAGGGGTTGATACTGTGCTCTAGAGGATAAAGCTGCTGCTTGCAATGCTGACATCCCCAAAGGAGCACCAGTTCCTGTCCTGGCTGCCCTGCTTCCAGTCAGCTTCCTGCAGATGGCCTGGAAAAACGGCAGGAGATGGTCCGAGTACTCCCAACAGAAACCTGGAAAACGCTCCTGGCTTCAGCCTGGCACAGCCCTGGCTGTTGTGGCCATTTGTGGAAGAAACTGGCAGATGGAAGAGCTCTCTGTTTCTCTTAACTCTGAGGTTCAAATAAACAAATCATTAACAAATAAATAAAGGGTGTTTCATATGTGGGAACTGTCCACTCGGACACTCACATCCCATTTCAGATCACCCGGGGTTGAATTCTGGCTGCATTCTCCGCTCTGCCTCTGCACTGCACATCCTGCCTGCAAGCATCCTGGGGGCACCTGCCGAGTCCCTGCCACGCCCGTGTGAGACCCACAGTGCATTCAGACCCTGGCTTGGCCTGGCACAATTCCAGCTGCTTCGGGGACTTGAGGAGTGAAGCAGCAGATAGAAGAACTTTCTATTTTTCAAATAAAAAAAAAGAAATGGATAAAAAGTTTAAAAATACAAAGTTCTAGCTTGCTGGGATTTTTACTGGGACTGAACTGGCTCAATGTTTCGATCAATTTGCAGAAGTAGCATTTTACACCACAAACCTGATTTCCAGGTAAGTACTTTACATTTATTCAGAACATTGCTTTTCCTACAATGCTGTGTGGTTTTTAGGAAATACGTCTTACTTATCTTTAAGAATTCCCATCAAGGCCAATGGCCAGCATATTGCTGCTTGCACCCACTGTCTTGCCCAAGCCAGGTGGCAGTGTCAGGTGGTTCTCGTGGCCTGGAATCTCTAGAGTAACTGGCAGAGTAAGGGTGATGCGGGTCAGCACCATTTGGTAGGCAGATCCCTAAGACACCAGATGGAGACAGGGTCACCCCGCCTGCCACTGTTCTCGGGAGTGTACGCGTGTGTGCTTCCTGGGCTGCAGGCTGGGCCTGCTGAGCTGCTATTGGCCAGCAGAGCACAGCAGTGCTGGGACATGGCTGCTGCGATCAAGTCATGAGGACCGAGACTCTTCCCTTGCAGAGTGGGAGTCTCTGAATCTCGCAGGTGCTTGCCTGGGTGCTGCCAGCTGCTGTGTTTGAGCTCTTTGGAGCAAACTCTGGCAGGAACTGAGGCTTTGAAGCCGCAGTCCCGCAGTCTGAGAGGAACTGAATCGCCCCAACAAGCGCCTGACTTAATGAGGAAGCGAGTCGTCCCTAGCCAGTCTGAGATGATTGCAGCCGCGAGACAGAGGAGCCAGTTAAGCTGCCCCAGACTCCCAACCATCAAAGCCACGGGACAGTAAGTGTTGCTTTCCAATGCTGACTTTCGGCTAATTGCTACGCAGTAAAAGTTAATTACTCCAACATCGGCAGGTTACTCATCAATACAAAGCTTGTCATACTCCTTTTTCATGTCTTCAAGGTCTAATTTTCTTTTAGCCTGGGTAAAAGTGACAGAAGACTTAATGAACCTGCAGATGGTACATGGGACATTACCTAATCTGAACAACACATACAAGAAGATGCTTGGGAAGAACCTGTGTGAATGTGACTGAAGGTGAGACATCTATGTCATTAGGAGACAGCTGATTTCCTACCAGGAAACAGGAAATCAGGATAAGGGCATGACATTTTTCAGCTGCCAAGTCAGGAACTCTGCCTTTTGGGGTAGCATCCTCGAGGGATGAAGAGGAAGACAAGAATCTCCCCCGACGAAGCAAAGCTAAGAGGATGTGTCTCTTGCTGGACTCAGCTAAGAGCCAAGTTCTTGAAATAAAGGAAGCAATGGAAGAAGAAACTGCTACACCAGAAAGAATACCAATATAGGTAAAGAGAACAAAATTTCATTTTTTCTAAATCATGTTTGACGGTCGAAGCAAAAATCATAACACTATCTGATGAAGTACGCCCACAGAACAGCTAAGACAATCACAGGGTCCGGTGCGGTGCCTAAGGCTGAGGTCCTTACCTTGCATGCACCACAATCCCATATGGGTGCCAGTTCTAATCCCGGTGGCACCACTTCCCATCCAGCTCCCTGCCTGTGGCCTGGAAAAGCAGTTGAGGACGGCCCAAAGCCTTGGGACCCTGCACCCATGTGGAAGACCCAGAGGAGGCTCCTGGCTTTAATTGGCTCAGCCCAGAAGATCTTCCTCTCTGTCTCTTTTTCTCTCTACATTATCTCACTTTTCAATAATAATAAATAAATCTTTAAAAATTTAAAGATTTACTCATTTTTATTGCAAAGTCAGACAGACATACAGAGAGGAAGATCTTCCATCTGATGATTCACTCCCCATTTGACTGCAACGATGTGTTGATCCAAAGCCAGGAGCCAGGAGCTTCTTCTGGGTCTCCGACATGGGTGTCGGGTCCCATGGCTTTGGGCCATTCTTTACTGCTTTTCCAGGACACAAGCAGGGAGCTGGATGGGAAGCCAGGTAGCCGGGATTAAACCAGCGCCCATATGGGATCCAGATGCTTTCAAGGTGAGGACTTCAGCCGATAGGCTACTGCACTGGGCCCAAAAATAAATAAATCTTTAAAAAAAAAAAAAGACTGGTGGGTCTCAGAATGGGGCGTCTCATGCCTGGATCCCAGACACCAGCCACCATGTGCACATGGTGAGCTGTCCCTGGACCTGCCTGGGCTCTGGGGGCTGTTCCCTTCGGGGTGAGTAACCAAGTGGGGAGGTCTCTGTGACTGGGCATGTCCAGGGCCCACCTGCCTCCCTCACTGGGCGGTGAATGGGATTGGGGAGGGGCGCGACCCTGGGCCTGAGAGTTTAAACTTCTAGCAGCCTCCTGGCTGCTGGTGGGTCTCTGGACAGGGCGTCTCATGCATGGATCTCAGACGCCAGCCACCACGTGCACGTGGTGAGCTGTCCCTGGGCGGCCAATGTGCCATTTGGTGCCAGGCTCAGCCTGATGGCAGCCTGGCCTGGACCTCCGTGGTTTTGGCTATTTGAATTGCTACTTAGGTAGTTCCAGGTTAAACTCATTGTGCTTCTAGGACGGGAATGAACCCTAAAGATTCCTAATGTCAGTAACTCTTTCTTTGAAGAACTTGTAATCACTGAACAATGCTGACCACCAAATATCTGTCCCTGAAAAAGCTATGGCTCGGGGCTTATCCAGTAGAATCATATCCTGTTACCTGACATGATGATGGATCAGAAGAAGAGTCACATTAAGTATGGTCATTACATTAACTAGCACTTGAGAACCATAACTGGGGGTCGATTCTGTGGGGGATGTGAGGGCCAAACCCTGTGGAAATTCTAGTTCCACTGGTTACCTCAAAAGTTAGGGTGCTGATGTACTAAGCTAGGCGTGACCATGGAGGTAAAGGAACCGACAACGGTCTGGACTGGTCAAGGCAGCAGCACCCAAATGTGCATCCTGAATAGGGTGTGGGGTGGGCCGGGCTGCAACATTCACCAGCTCATACATGGCCAACTGGAAGGCAAGACTTCGCAGGAACCTGGCTTAAACCCAATGGCATGTATGAGAACTGGGTCTGGGAGTGGATTAAGTGGAGGAACTTGGGAAACTCCCCTGGCGGATGATAGCTCCTGCTGGTGAACATGTGGTCCAGACCTGGGGGTCGGACAAGCTGAGCAAAGTAGCTCCAACAGCTGGGTAATGTGTCAATTGGTACTGGAACGGGGTGAACCGGGCTGGACTGAGCAAACCTTAGCCCACAGCCAAAATTAGAAATCAGGATGGAGCACAGGTCATGCTGAGCTCGGCTCTTGCTCCTACTGGTCTGCATGAGCCAGGGACGCTAAGCCACAGCATCTAACGCAAGGGCCGGGACAGGTGAGGGGCTGTGCCAAGCTGAGTCAGAGCAACCACGGGCATGCATGTGATCTATGGCTGGGAACAGGCCTGGTTGGGGAGCTAAGGGGACAACACTAGCTGGGTTGAGGTTCCCACCAAGGGACACGTGTGGGCTGGAATGGAGGCTGCGTTCTGATCAGGATATGGTGGTAGTCTCACTTAGCACAAGTGTGGACTGGGACTGGACACACCAAGCCGGGCCAGACTCCAACACCATCTGGTGTCTTGGAGGACCAGGGTAGATGTGAGACGGACTAGGCTAGGTCTCAGCCCCTACTGAGCCATGTGTGAGCCATATGTGGGTATGGACAAGCCGTGGCTGGGCTGAAACATCCAAGAGCAAGAACCAGATTGGGTGGAAGGACAGGCAGGAAAAGCTACTGCTTCTGCTAGGACAGGAGGTAAACTGAGTAGGGCTGGCTCATTGACCCCCTGGTATGCTCAAAATCTGGCACTGGGAGAGGTTCTGATGGAGGAGCCTGGGCAACTCTTCTGGTAGGACACGGACAATGCAGGTAAGCACAAGAGGCATGAAAGGAAACAGCCCAGAACAGGCCATGGAAAGTTACCCACTGGCGCACATTTGGCATGGGTCAGGGGCAGACTAGGCTGAATCAGTTCACATCATCCACTGATGAATCCGAGCACCTGAACAGAGTGTGAGTCAAACCGGGTTTGGTTGCCACAAAAAACTAGTGCACAATACGAAAAGCCAAGGTGAGGTTGCCTGTACCGGATGTGACCGCAGTGCCCAACAGCACACGTGAGAACCAGGAAGGAGGGGGCAGAGCCGGCAAGGGGGTATTTGTCGGGGTTCCCTTGCTGGATGGCTACTCCCAGTGGAGAGTGTGAGCTGGAATGGGGGCAGACCAGACTAGGCAGGGCTACAACACCTGTGTGCCTCATGTGGACTAGATCAGGGAAAAGCCAGGCTGGGCTGATTGTTCCTATTGGTGCAAACAAAATTAGAGTGGGTGAGGGTTGTTTGGGCTTAGCCGCAGCATCAGCTGGCAGAAGCTGGCACTGGGGGCTAATTCTGTCAAGTTAGACCACAGAACTACCTAGAGTGTATAATCCAGGAGTGGGAGAGGCCTGGGAGGGAAATAGTGGGCTCCTCCCTCTTGGGTTACCACTCCCACTAGGACAGGGGCTGGGGTGGCTAGACAGAAGAGCATCCAACAACATCTGTGTGGGCTGAATAGTGGAACTGGTTAGAGGGAACACAGCTTTAATACCCATTGATGTGTATGAGAGCTGAAATGGGTGTGGGTCAGACTGGACTACTGCTACACATATTGGCAAACCAGGGTAGGGGATGGGCCTGGTGGGGGCTATTGTGGGTCGCTCCAACTAGGCTGCAGCTCCCACTGGTTAATGCAAGTCCCTGTGCTACGCAGAACCAGGCTGGACTGCAACACCCATTGGTTCCAGTGGAAGACAGGGCTGCAACCACCAGCAGCAACCAACCCAGCAACTGCAACCACCAGCTGATCGGGGTGATGGACTGTGCAGGGCCCTGTACTTGTTAGTACACACAAGAATCTGGTCTGTGAACACCTCAGACAAGGTTTCTTTTGGGATCTCCCCAACTGAAATGCTGGACTCAGAACCCTAACCAAGAAAAGACAGAAGACAGAACAGGTCAATCAACCATCTCAGCTATATGTTGGCAGCGAAATACGGGGCAAACGGAGACTCTATGATGGACTAGTTCAATCAGTGGATTCTTCAAAGACCTCATCGTTCTTGGAGAGGCAAGATTGGCAGCGATTCATAACTGTTGAACTATGAAAACCACTTGAACAAGAACCTCGGAGCATGCCCTACATTCGGGCCTTGGGAAGGATTGGAAATTGGGTGGAGTTTCTCCCTTAATACCCCCCTTTAAACATGAAGGAAACAATATGGAAATGATAGTCTTACCTGCTTTCTTGTAGCCCTTGAACCTTTTTACCCTAATTAACTATGTAAAGATTGTCAAAATTAAAAAACATATATATATATCATAAAAAAAGACCATCATATTATATACAGGCAGGGAAATTCCCAAAGAAATGAGATTCCTAGGCACAACTTACTATAATATAGCACTGAAACCAGCAGACTGCATTTCAGTTATGTTTGTATACTGTAATGGCTAGAGTAGTCACCACCAACCTATACGAACACACAGCCTTGGAAACAAGATGCTTCAGTCCCAACGGATTCCCCACAATGTTCAGGTAACCACTTAGCAAGGTAGGAAGTGTTGGACCCGACAGCTCAGATGAACTGCAGGGACACGGCACTCAGTGTAAAGAGCCACTTATATAGCACATTGTCAGAGACTGGTGACAATGGAGCAGCTCCAGGGGAGGGAAGTTCAGCACCTGGAGCCTGTGCAACGTGGTTCCACATGCCATTCAATGTCACAGAACTGCACAACATCGTATCAACATCAATTTTTCTTATTATTCTCTTTCCCCATACGGTCTGTCTGCATCAGTACCTTGATGAAGATTTTGCTTTCCTGAGTTTTGCTTCTCCACTTCTCAATGCCTGCATGACCATTCCAGCTGCTAATCCTGCTGCTCCTTTAACCTCAGGACATGAGACAGCTCGTCACTTCCCTCTCCAACTTCTCTCTGCTCTGTCATCTTTCCACCTGTCACCTATGGACAAATGTCACTGCTCCCTCCAGCTCCCTCATTACAGTCACCCCTCGGTCTCACAGGATCCTTTCTTAAATTCTCACTGTCCCCAATACAAGT